TAGGAGAGTCTTGGTGGAGGCAGTGATATTTAATAACATACATGTTATTAAAGCATAACATGTATGTATTTAGTACAATTTACAATGTTTTCATGCATTTTATGACTGTTCATGGTTCAACAAATTAAGGAAGCAGTACTGTATTATATTTCCCTACAATGTATTGGGACACCAAACATTCGCAATTTTTCAACATTCGCGAGGCTCTTGATCCCTTAACCCTTGCAAATGTTGAGGGAGACCTATATACAGTGGACCCGTTTCATGATTAACCCTTTGATGGTCGGTCACGTACAAGTACGTCATTGCAGCCAGGGTCAGTCACGTACTTGTATGCCTAAATTCTAGTGCTTTCAGATCTGGTGGAAGAAAGCTGGCAGGCCTACATATGAAAGAATGGGTCTGTGTGGTAAGTGTGTGCAGTGTGTGCAAGGCCCAAGGCGGACATCAACCAAATCTTTCAGTGGGCTGCAGAAAACAACATGAAGTTCAACGATGAGAAATTTCAATTACTCAGATATGGTAAACACGAGGAAATTAAATCTTCAGAGTACAAAACAAATTCTGGCCACAAAATAGAGCGAAACACCAACGCCAAAGACCTGGGAGTGATCATGTCAGAGGATCTCACCTTCAAGGACCATAACATTGTATCAATCGCATCTGCTAGAAAAATGACAGGATGGATAATGAGAACCTTCAAAACGAGGGATGCCAACCTCATGATGACACTCTTCAGGTCACTTGTTCTATCTAGGCTAGAATATTGCTGCACACTAACAGCACCTTTCAAGGCAGGTGAAATTGCTGACCTAGAAAATGTACAGAGAACCTTCACGGCGACATAATGGAGATAAAACACCTCAATTACTGGGAGCGCTTGAGGTTCCTGAACCTGTATTCCCTGGAACGCAGGCGGGAGAGATGCATGATTATATACACCTGGAAAATCCTAGAGGGACTAGTACCGAACTTGCACACGAAAATCACCCACTACGAAAGCAAAAGACTTGGCAGACGATGCAACATCCCCCCAATGAAAAGCAGGGGTGTCACTAGCACGTTAAGAGACCATACAATAAGTGTCAGGGGCCCGAGACTGTTCAACTGCCTCCCAGCATACATAAGGGGAATTACCAACAGACCCCTGGCAGTCTTCAAGCTGGCACTGGACAAGCACCTAAAGTCGGTTCCTGATCAGCCGGGCTGTGGCTCGTACGTTGGTTTGCGTGCAGCCAGCAGTAACAGCCTGGTTGATCAGGCTTTGATCCACCAGGCAGCCTGGTCACAGACCGGGCCGCGGGAGCGTTGACCCCCGGAACTCTCTCCAGGTAAACTCCAGGTAAGTATAAAAAAAATCCTGAAGCATGCTGTGCATGACAAAAAAAAACTTCGACTGTGTTTTTGGTTTAAAACAGCGAATTTCTAATGTATTTTCGTATGGTATTTATGGTTGTATTCTCATTTCCTTGATCTCATTTGATAGAATGAAAGATATATTACAGAAATAGAGATGATTTTGATTGGTTTCACGATGACAAGTACCTTGAAATTGAGCTCAAAGTAGGGAAAATGATCGATTTTTGCCAATGCTCAAGAGTAAACAAATCAAGCCATGCGTCCAATATACGTCAAATAGTGAGTCTAATATTCTTTCACAAGTGTGCTGATATCATTTACATCATTTTTACAATGATGCAGTAGTATACATAACAGAAAACCTTCTGTTTTCTGTGAGAACAAAAATTGAAAATGGAAAGCAAAAGTATAATGTAAGAGGGGCCTAGAGATGTGACTAATGAAAAGATAAAATGTTATTTTAGTGCCATGAATGTCTAACTTGTTTATTCTGGACCCTATTTTGAAATTTGTGAGAAATTGCCCAAATTGCCAATTTCTGACCACTTTATTGGGTAGTTGAAATCGGTAAATGGGCAGATTCGTGAACTCAGTTGATAGAACAAATGGAGTTCTAGGGAAATAGCTATGATTTTATTCAACTGCAACATTGGAATTGGGCGAAAATAGGGCTTAAAGTTGGTGAAATCGCCCACTTTGAGACCACTAACTTTGCGAGAGCATAATTCCATAAGTTTTCCATCAATTTTCATACTTTTGGTGTCACTATGATCAGAAAAAGATTCTCTATCATTTCCCAAGAATTTTTTTTTTTTTTCCAAATTTTTTGACTCTGAGAATGAGTTTGGGAGAGGCCCTCTTGACCCTCAAAGGGTTAAACCGTTCCAGAGTGTCTGCTGACTGGCGAAATTCATGATTGGCAAATCTATTTTCCCCTTAAGAAATAATGGAAATCCAATTAATCCGTTTCAGACACCCAAAAGTATTAACAAAAAATATTTTTTTTAAAGATTAAATATAGATTTACATATAGAAAACAATGACAAATCAATATAAAGCACTAATAAAATGGATAAATGAACATTTAACATCACACTTAACCTTTATTGAAGACTTTTGTTGGTGTATGGCAGACAGGTAGGAGGCGAGAGACGTGAGTTTATGCTTCAATGTGACGCTAATATCTCTACGGCTTATTTATATATCACAATTCATCTAAAATGACATAATAAACAATATTAATAATATAGAAACACGATATATACTCTAGAATGAATAAAATATGTCATAATGTATGAGAGGAGTAAAGTTATGGAAGTGTTGTTGTTGGGTTTATAAGGGCCACTGAGAGAAGCAGTACAATGGTGGTGGTGGTGGAGGCAGCAGCAGAACCCACCACCACTATCACACTTAAACAATGTATGTAATTTATAAATAAGAAATATTTACATTTTAATTTATAAATAAGAAATATTTACATTTTAATTTATAAATAAGAAATATTTACATTTTAATTTATAAATAAGAAATATTTACATTTTAATTTATAAATAAGTTTATTCAGGTATACACAAATACAGTTACGTACATAGATTATTATACATAGCAGCATATGTGTAAAGTACCTAGGATAACCCAAAAAAGTCCAGAGTGACTTATTTCCATTGGGGTCCTTTTATATTTATACATTTATTTTTATACTTACACTTTTATATTTACACTTAACTTGGAGGAGATGTTAGTTTAATTAGTTAGTTTGATGAAGGAGATGCTGGCAGAGGTTTAGAGTGGTGGAAGATAGTGGGGCGGCGTATGTTCAGCGGTCCTATACACATCCAACAACATTGGAGAGTTACTTTCATGTCATTTTTCTATCGCTTAATCGCTTAACTTACTTCCTACACTTTTAATTCTACACATTATTGCTGGCTGGAGCTATAACCTTTATCGATACCTGCTGCTTTAGTATCGTACTTATTGTAGAATCACTGCAAAAGGCACATTCTTCCCCTCTCTTCCTCCTCTACTTCGGTACTTTGCTACGAGTTTCTTCTTGAATTCTATTGTGTTTTTCACCTTCTTTACCAAAGGACTGGCATTAGGAGCTTTCTTTGGACCCATGGTGGGTTATTTAGCAGTTGCAAGCACAAAAAACAATAGATTATTATGAAAAATGTTGTATGAACCCATAGGGTGATGGTCATGCGCTGGTAAACAGTGGCACGCTGTGTGAATAGTGTAGGAGACTGGCTTTGTGTGCGCGCTGACGGGCGGACGCATATTGGATGGTCGCCAAATCACGAACTGCAAAGCTAAATTTTGCCGAAAAAACTTGCCAAAAGTCGGATTTCACGTGGCCGCCGAACGGCGGGGGTCCACTGTATATACATCCAAAACAATGGCTCATAAAACATATATATACGGCCGAAACAGTCAAAGGGTTAACATAGGTATAAATGTATAACATGATATTTAATCAACTTAATGTTGGGAAAGATATCAACAGCTATACAAAGTACAAATACTTGCCATATAATACTTGAGTACTGTATAAACCAGCAGCATGTCTAGGTTGACCTTGATTTTATTTTGCCAAAAAATCTTTAATTTTTCATATACTGTACCTCAAGTATAAATCTACTGTAGTTTTTGAGGGACTTTAGAGAAGAAGTGCAGCAAAGCTTATCAGCCCATGCTAGACAGGCCATACTCACATGCAACCCATGTTTATTTGGTAGAGACTGGTAAAGAAATTTATATTTATTATTTACAATATTCTGTTTATCAGCACAGGTATCCCAGTTTGGCAACTGGGAAACAATGGGGTGATGGTTGGCAGTGGAGAGGAGGATTTGGAGATGGGCAGGTGACACCCTCTTTCTCCTCTCCTTAACCTTTCTTCCCACAGTTACCATCAGCACTCTTCCCCACACCATAATAACCTGAACAATAATACTGATTGACATTATATTATACTATCATGATTTTCATTTTATACTGAACTGAAAAAAAAAAAGAAATAAAATATTGATTATTCTTGAGGATGGGAATAGTGGCCAAATTTGCAACTCTGCAGTGATCTGCTATAGTACTGTAAACAAACTGATGGAAGAGGCTAATGCAAATTAAAGTACTGAATATTACCTAAATTTTTTGTATACTTAAGGTAGAATATGATTAATAAATAAGAATGGTTCTGCCCTTGATGCACCAAAGAAGCAAGAATCTAGTATGCAGTAGGCTCTCAACAAGTAAGAAATTTCAACCCTTCAAAAGTATTACTCATAAATTAGTTAACCCCCTACAATCCCCCCCTCCCCAAAAAAATGGTTTAAAAACCTTAACCTGTACTCAAGTATATACAGTAACTGCAAATATGGACTGGTGTTATCATTAAGAATGTAACCACAGTCACACAAAAGTCACCACAGCTAAAAAAGAAAAAAAAAAAAATTACCATTAACAGAATCTGTGACTCTCTGTGATACAATAATTAATTTTTTCATAAGAAGGCACTGTACTGTAATGTACAGAATGCATATATACTACCTTAAAATACCTATTGTAATAAACATTGCAAACCAGATTAGAGATTAAATTAATGACTTCATACGGATATTTTCTTCCTATCTCCTATCAAGACTCACAAGAATAGAGCTACAGGCAGAAGAGCGCAAAAGTGTCATCAGTGAATTAAGCAATGCCCTACGTCACCGTATGGAGACAACTGACAATGAGTTGGACACAATTGTAACACATCTTGATGAAATCAAGTCTGGCATCAGAAGTTTAAACCAACGACACAATGAACTTAAAGCTACTGTTAGTGAAATCCCTAAGGACTACGGTCAGTTACTTCCTTAAATCATAATTAAATTCCCAACCATTTGCCTTATAAGAAAGACTGTAACAGCTTCTTGATAATATTTGTACACTTTTAGGTGTCATGATTGCTTTAAATAGCCTTTGAGCTTACTGAGTTTATATGCAGATTTAAATTAAAATTAATGCATTAGATGCCCATAAAGAAATCTGTCAATTTTTTCCTTCTATGTATTGTAAATGGTAATACATACAGTAACATAGTATTTACATTCCTGAAAGTGATATTTAAATACGAAATACAGTGGTACCCGAGTTTCGCACAGCTCCCAACTCGAACAATTATGTAAGTGTATTATTTTAACTCGTAAATGGTCCAAACGTATATATACGTTTTTTCAACATTTGAAAGTATGTAAAAAAAGTAGATCTTCTTTTTGTTTTTCTACATTTGAAAATGTGTAAAAAACTTTGATCTACTTTTTTTTTTTGTTATATTTGAAATTATTATTATTATAATCAAAAAGAAGCGCTAAGCCACAAGGACTATACAGGTTATATTTGAAAGTATGTAAAAAAAAAAAAAAAAAAAAAAAAAAAAAAAAAAAAAAAAAAACTTAGATCTACTTTTGTAGCACTACACATGTGAACGTAGATCTGCTTGGACCGTTTACGGGTTAAGTGCTTTTGTAAGTGTATTTTTGGGGGTCTGAAATGGACTAATCTAATTTACATTATTCCTTATGGGAACAAATTCGTTCAGTAACAGCACTCGAACAGCCTTCTGGTACAAATTATGGTCGAAACTTGTGGTACCACTGTATTTTAAGATAAACTTTAGAAGGAAAAAATGTGTTAAATTCTTGAGGCCCAAAATGCTAAACACTGTTTAATTTTTTAAAGGCTTTCAGGTTTATAAAACAATAATGGAATTGTAGTTGGATGTAGTGAAGTGTGTATATAATAAAAATACAATATCTGTAGTTAAAAAGACTACCTAAGTAAATTTCTTCTTGCTGTTGAGTTAGACACATGTGCAACTCTTGGGTATCTTTACTGAAGAAACGTTTTGCCACACAGTGGCTTCATCAGTCCATACAAAGGAGAAACTTGAAGAACAGGAGGAGAATGAGGTAATCAGTCCCTCAGCCTTGAGTCGATGTGGTCAGTCCATCAATCTTGAATAGAATACAGCATATGAGCAGAGAAGCAGCTTATAAACCGTAGACAGGTGAGGGGCAGCAGTCGTAGGTGGTGTCACATTTGTCCAATGTGGAAGTAGGTCGTGCCCAAGGGTTAGGCAAGTGAAGAATTTTCCAGTATTAAGATCCCAAGAAGTTGCAGTGTCTGACAGGATGGTAGATGAATGGTTCAGAGAACCGACATGTTGTTGAATTAGACAACTTCTTGGGATCTTAATACTTGGGAATTCTTCACTTGCCTAACCCTTGGGCATGACCTACTTCCACATTGGACAAATGTGACACCACCTACGACTGCTGCCCCTCACCTGTCTACGGTTTATAAGCTGCTTCTCTGCTCATATGCTGTATTCTATTCAAGATTGATGGACTGACCACATCGACTCAAGGCTGAGGGACTGATTACCTCATTCTCCTCCTGTTCTTCAAGTTTCTCCTTTGTATGGACTGATGAAGCCACTGTGTGGTGAAACGTTTCTTCAATAAAGATACCCAAGAGTTGCACATGTGTCTAATTCAACAACATGTCGGTTCTCTGAACCATTCATCTACCAAATTTCTTCTTACCTTAAATTCACCCACCAAAATCAACATTTCTAACTAAATTGTCATTCTGATACAAAATTTGGGGTATTTCCATTGTCAAACAGACCCAAAACTCAGCTAATTCACTAATAAGTCATTTGTACTGATCAGCAGCACCATGATATGACCACTCAAGCTCTCAAATTCACCCTATTAAATGCCCAAAGAAGCTCACTGATCCCGTTTCTCACTAAATTCAACCCATTCCTAATTTGCAAGAGGCAAAAAACCAACCTTTTAGAAATTTCAGTCTCTCCCACTTACTCCCCCAAGCTTCTCCATTTTCAGTCCACTGTCATGCAAAAACTTCCTGCTTCTAATTACATCACCATTAATTTACTCTCACAAACTATTCTGGGAAAGCCAACAAAGTCAGAGAGTAAACATTTTGCTTGGGAAAGGTGGCATGGCTGTACTGTACTGAGGTGGTTGGTTGTGGATTGTAAACTGAGCTGAATGGTTAAGGTTTTTGGAATAATGTCAATGCAGAGTTGTTATTACATGATGGTTGTACCAACATGTTCATACACTATTTTGTAATGTGTGTCTGGTCTGTTTTACTCTGCAATATTTTATACAGCTGACAAAAGATGCTTCAGGCCTTGCTTCTGAGCACTATTTACCCAAACCTAAATAAAAAATTACTATATATTCCTTCCAGAGAAAACATGCAAAGCTAATATGCCACCAGTAACTATTGTAATTTAGTATACAACCTTGTCTTTTTAAAATATGATTTGTCATCTTTTTGATACCTCCAGCATCACTTATAGTCCTCTTAGATTTCATGGTTACTAACCAGACACAATGAGCTGGTGGAAAATATCAATTCACTAACACACAACACAGTATGGTGTGGAATGCATATGCATAGAGAATTGGAGGCATGAAAGGTAATTTACGCTAAGAGAGACTAGGTCTTCACCATAAAAACAATGGTGGCCACGAGGCAAACAGGAAAGATTCCATTGTGTGCCTTGTTTTCCTCTAAATTTATGCAATGCTAAATTAAGATTACAGTATGTGTGTTGAAATATATCACAAACTTCCAACAGTGTTATGTCAGAAACATGTAAAAGGGTCACATGTCAAACGAGTATCTCATAACTGGCAAATCCTCAGTTAAAGCTAACAATAATACATCTAGAACATTTTGATAAGGTCTGGATGATTACTTAAGCCTAACATTTGCAAAACACCAACACTTTATTTGCACCATTACCAATAATTTTACTAGAAAAATGTAACATTTCCACTACGTAAGTGCTTGCTGTGAATATGCCATTATTTTATCACATGAACCATAGAGGAAAAGTGACAATTATACCCAAGGCCTATTTTGATTCACTACATTTTTCTTTGCTGATTAAAATGATAGGTATAAAACTTATGTACTTCAAAGAAAATATTAAAAAAAAATAGATTAATACAGTATTCCACAAACCTTTCTTATGTCTCAAAACCTACTGTATTTAATAGCTTTTCTCTACCAAAAGTGGTTACCATACAGCTCAGTGTTTTAAAACACACTGATTTTAAAACTCAGATTTTGAAACTAGTTTAAATATCAAGCAACTAAAGGAGCAATAAATATAAAATGAAATGTACTGTACCATGCATATACGAATAGAAAGAGACAGACAATGATTAAAAATGGAAAATAATGCTGCAATTATGAATGCTGTATACTAACATTCAAAATTTAACAAAAAGATCCTTCCTTTACACATTGAATAAAATTATTGTATTATTTTAATTTTAATGGTATCTGAACAGGCACTGACAGTGGGCAAAACCTTGCACTAAAACTGCAAGCTGTGGCAGCAACCACCAATGGACTGCGGACTGCAGTGCAGGCAGTCAAAGATGGCATATACCAAATTGGGCAAAACTTAACCATACTCAACAACATCAGCCAGTAAGTTATGGAATGTAATTACATTTTTCCTTTTTCATCTAGTTTTCTAAAATTACTAGAGATAAAATCAATGAGAACACAATTACATTCAGAAATACCAGTTTACCTGCTTGATTCTAACAGCAAAATACAAGATGAATTTTTATTTTTCATTAATAGAATTTATAGTAACTGCAAATACAATTCACCCTTAAATTTGAAAAAATAAAACTCATTCATATTTTAAAGTCATTAGCAGAACTAATTACCAGATATGTCATGATCTGTTCCCAAAGTATGTCATGATCTGTTTCCAAAGTCTGCCTGCATTATACGGGCAGGCCTCACTTTAGAGGGCTTTGCTTTACAGTGTTTCACTAATACAGCGTTTTTCGGCTATACCCATTCTTCATTTATACAGACTTCCTACAATAAATATATTATCCCATTATTTCATAAATATATTTACCACTCACTCTAAGCTAAGGATAAAAATATTTTAAGGTAAGTAATGTGTATACTGTATATGCATTTTTTAGGCCTAGCTATACAGGTCCGTATCCCTTTATCAGAAACCCTTGGGGTCAGCAGTGTTTCGAATTTCAGAATGAAGGTGGGGTCTAGAGGAACACCCTATAATCAAACATTAACACTGCAGCAAAAACATGTTGAGTACTCACACTAAGTGGGATAAAGACTACAAATACTACTACGGTTTATTTAAAGAGTAATATATTGATAAATGAAATAATGGGATAATTATAGACCAGGAACGTGATTCTGAAGACTATTCTCAAGACGATTGACAGATGGCATTTTTAAAGACTTCAAGTGTCATATGTCTTATTAATGTAGATTTCTGTCTAAGCAATCTCTCCTTAACCCCTTCAGGGTCCAAGGCCAAAATCTGAAGTGGTGCTCCAGTGTCCAAGAAATTTTGAAAAAAAAAAAAAAAAAATCTTACAGAATTAAAGAGTATATTTTTGTGAAGGTAATAAGACAAAAAAAAAATTCTGATCAGTACTTACCGAGATACAGTGCCGAGAAGTTGACCCAAAATGACCTGGTGGCGGCAACATCGACGATTTCCACATATGCGCATTACTTTATTTACCGTTTTTTGTAGTTTTTTCTTTTAATTTTTCTTTTCCTACTAACATTTGGGGCCTGAGAGACCAATACTGTATATAATTTATATACATATATAAACTCACTGTATTGAACACAATAACCGCACTAAAGTTATTATCATATTATTGTTTACCACTGTTGTTTATTACAATAAACTCACATTTTTCAAATTCAAAGTTTATTCTCTATAAAGATTACAATGTTGAATTTACAGAATTTGGTTGTTGTGTGGTTTACATGTAGTTAAATAATGATTACAGAGTGTACCACTAGAACGCCTAGCATGGCTAGGCATTTCGGGCAGACTTAGTTTAATTCTTTATTTTAAAATATTACAAATTATGAGGTAAGTTGGTATTATGGCTAAGTGACTAAATACTAGTTTGTGAGTTTAGCAATGTGAATGCTTTTGTTTTGGCACAGTACATAGTTTCAGTATTGGAGTATCATAGGATTCATTATTTTAAGATTGAGATTAATATTTCTGTTTATGGTCAAATGGGTGAATGTAATGTGAACCCCAGGTGTATTCGTGTAAGTTGATGGGGGATCAGGGGGAAAGATTTTTCTAATGAGTTTTGAAGGTGAGAATGTGTCGCGTTTAAAGTTTTCAGGGAGGGGTGTACCAATTTAGGGCCTTTTACATACATTGAATTTTTTTTAAAGGTTTAGTCGGGCACGGGGGGAAAGTTAAGAGTTTGTGTCTGGGGTTATGCCTGTGGGTTCTGTCACAAATATCAAAAAAAGCGTTTTAGGGCAAGGGTTTTTTGGAGTTAAGGTTCTGTAGAGTAGATTGCACAGTATAAGTGGGTGTACTGAACAGGGGGAAGTTTTGATCAGAAGATGGGGGTGTGTGTTGGGCAGGGATGGGGTTTAGTGATTTTTCTTCTGTAGCTTTTTTTTGGGTTATTATTGGCTTTTTGGGGTTTGCTCCCGTTTTTCCCCAAGCACAAAAAGCATAGTGAGGTAGGATAAATAATGAGTGGGATAGTTGAGAAGGGGATTTTGCGGCACGTAGTATCGTATCTTGGAGAGGTCCCAACCCCTTTCGATACTTTTTTTTGGTTTGTTTTGGGGGGGGGGGGTTTGGGGTCTAAAAATTCGGGTTGTTGTAAAGGGTATACCCCTGGGAAATTTTTGCCCTCATTAGTCGGTAATTAGAGTTTGTTGACTTAATTTTAAATTTTGTGCATCTCCTCCTGCTACCAAACAAAATATAGGGGTTTTGCAGGTTAAGCTAATTTTTATTGGCTGTCACCCAAAGTCGATATTTTGATCAGCTCCCCGTTAAAAATGGTGTTGGGGGGTGGCAAGATTAGGGTGAGAGATGACAAAGTCGTGTCGTCAGCAAAGAGAAGGGGTTTCGGGTTTTTGGGATACGTTTGGAAGATCGTTGTGTATATAAAGAGCAGGGAAACCCAAAGGACACTTCCCCGCGGGAACCCAGTATCAAGTGGCCGTGTTTTTTGATCTGGTCTTTAAAAGTGACATACTGATACCTAAAGTAAGGTAAAATTTGAAATAAGCAAGGCCCTGGCCTCTTATACCGTTGTCAATTTTTGGAGTAGGATGTCTGTCTACTGTGTCAAAAACTTTTTTTAGGTCAAAAAAATTTCCCAGTGGATATTTCCCTTTTTTTTCCCAAAGCTATAAAACGCTACATTTTTTTGATTGCATCATATGCTTTTTATTTTTCCTGAATCCAAATTGGCAGGGGTTGGGATGTTTTTTGCTGTTATAAATGAATACAGTGGACCCCCCCCCCTACCTTTGGGTCACATACGTTAAACCGCATACCCCCTTGCTTTAATCGCAAAAATTTTGCCTCCATACCCCTTAAAAACCCGCCACCATTTTCTCCGGACGCGTCCAAGTGCGCCCCAGCCCCGCCTCACATGTGCCACCGTGGGGATTGTTTACCAGCCAGCCCCGCGGTAACATCCCAAAACAACGGAATATTTTTTATTATTACAGTGTTTTCGGTGCTTTTTCTGGAAAATAAGTGACCATCCCGCCCAAGAAAGCTTCTAGTGCCAACCCTACAGCAATAAGGGTGAGAATTCCAATAGAGATGAAGAAAGAAAATCATTGATAAGTATGAAAGTGGAGTGTGTATCGCCGACCTGGTCAGGTTGTACAAGAACCCCAATCAACCATCGCTACTATTGTGGGCACCAGAAAGGCAATCAAGGAAGCTGTTCTTGCCAAAGGTTTAACTGTGTTTTCGAAACAAAGATCGCAAGTGATGGAAGATGTTGAGAGACTCTTATTGGTGTGGATAAATGAAAAACAGCTAGCAGGTGATAGCGTCTCTCAAGCGATCATAAGCGAAAAGGCTAGGAAGTTGCATGAGGATTTAATTAAAAAAATGCCTGCAACTAGTGCTGATGTGAGTGAATTTAAGGCCAGCAAAGGTTGGTTTGAGAGATTTAAGAAGCGTAGTGGCATACATAGTGTGATAAGGCATGGTGAGGCTGCCAGTTCGGACCACAAAGCGGCTGAAAAATGTGTGCATGAATTCAAGGAGTACATAGAGACTGAAGGACTGAAACCTGAACAAGTGTTTAATTGTGATGAAACAGGCCTGTTTTGGAAGAAAATGCCAGCAGGACCTACATTACTCAGGAGGAAAAGGCACTCCCAGGACATAAGCCTATGAAAGACAGGCTTACTTTGTTGATGTGTTCCAATGCTACTGGTTGATTGCAAAGTTAAGCCTTTATTAGTGTATCACTCTGAAACTCCCAGAGCGTTCAGGCAAAAGAATGTCCTCAAGGAGAATTTGTGTGTGCTGTGGAGGGCAAACAGTAAGGCATGGGTCACTAGGGACTTTTTCTATGACTGGTTACACCATGCATTTGCCCCCAATGTAAAGATTACCTAACTGAAAAGAAATTAGAACTTAAGTGCCTCCTGGTGTTAGACAATGCCCCTGGTCATCCTACAGACGTGGCAGAGCGACTTTATGGGGACATGAAATTCATTAACATCAAGTTTTTGCCTCCTAATACCACTCCTCTCCTGCAGCCCATGGACCAGCAGGTTATTGCAAACTTCAAAAAACTGTACACAAAAGCTCTGTTTGAAAGGTGCTTTGTAGTGACCTCAGAAACTCAACTGACTCTAAGAGAGTTTTGGAGAGAGCACTTTAATATCCTCAATTGTGTAAACCTTATAGGTAAGGCTTGGGAGGGAGTGACTAAGAAGACCTTGAACTCTGCTTGGAAGAAACTGTGGCCAGAATGTGTAGACAAAAGGGATTTGAGGCTAACCCTGAGAGGATTATGCCAGTTGAGGAATCCATTGTGGCATTGGGAAAGTCCTTGGGGTTGGAGGTTAGTGGGGAGGATGTGGAAGAGTTGGTGGAGGAGGACAATGAAGAACTAACCACTGATGAGCTGATAGATCAACTTCAACAGCAAGAGGCCAGACCTGAGGAAACTGGTTCAGAGGAGGGGAGAGAGAAATTGAAGAAGTTGCCTACTACAAAGATTAGGAAATGTGTGCAAAGTGGCTTGAAGTGCAAACCTTTTTTGATGAAAATCACCCTCACACAGCTATTGCAAGCCGTGTTGGCAACCTGTACACTGACAATGTTGTGAAACACTTTAGGGAAGTCATAAAGAAACGAGAGGTACAGGCCACTATGGACAGATATGTTGTGTGAAAGAAGTCCAGTGACTCTGAAGCTGGTCCTAGTGGCATTAAAAGAAGAAGGGAAGTAACCCCAGAAAAGGACTCGACACCTCAAGTCTTAATGGAAGGGGATTCCCCCTTCTAAACACTAACACTCTCTCTCCCCTCCTCCCATCCCATCAATCATCACCAGATCTTCAATAAAAGTAAGTGTCATCGAAGTGTGCATGCCTTTTTCAGTTTGTGTGTATTAA